GCCTGTGAAATCCCTTTGTCCCTGCAGAGCGCTCAGCTGCAAATTCCCACAGAGAGGAGAGAGCTGCCTTTGTGCTGCTAAAGGGCTCCCAACATGTGAAATCCCTGGGCCGGGGGGCTGGGGTGGGAGCTCAGCGCAAGGGCTGCAGGCCCCTGCCTTCCTGCTGTCCTTGGGCACGTGGGGGGCATGTGGGAGGGGGGCCCTAGGGTGATGTGCTGGGTGTTGCTGGCAGGAAGGGGGTCCCTGGCCCAGCTCTCTGAGCCTACCTAAAGGTCTTGCCCTGCCTGGGTAGGACAGTGGCTTTGGAGTGTGGCAGCCCCCACCCTGCGGAGCACCCCGGGACAGCTGCCCTGGGGCTGGATTGCTGACATACCAGCAGAACAAGCCTTGCTCTCTGTGGCCAGCCCTTTCTTTCTGTGGCCAGTCTCGTGCTGTTCCTTTCTCCTTCCCCGGGGGCAACCCTGATTGCCCGTGTGTGTTGAGCCCAGCTCTTTGCTCCCTGGGGCAGCAGAAGGCATTGTACGTCCGCCCTGTTCCTGGTGGGGCCTGTCTCCTGCCTGAGGGTTGCCCACCGCATTTCCCAACCTCTTTGTCCAGGCTGGTCCTTGGAACTTGATCTGTATCATGCATTCCTGACCTTTTCTTTTGGGGGGGTGATAGTGGGGGTGTGTGCCACGTCTGCTTCCTCACTTCAGCCTGGTGTGCAGGCCCCACCCTGCTCTTATCTCTCCACTCTTATCATCCCGCCTTGGCTGCTGGCCCTTTCCCTTATACGGCCTGCTATTGTGTCTGCTTGCATCCCTACAGGTAACTGCCTCTGCAAGGGAAGCTTTCCTAACAGAGACTGCAGCCCTTGTGGCAGTAAGCAAGGCAGGCTGGGCCGCCATCCTGCTGCCGGTTGGACCAGCTGTGTGCCATGAGCATTGAGCGGCTCTCTCCACCTTGGCTGCTTTTCGTGTCGTGGTTTCTCCTTCCCCAGCTCTTGCCAGGGCCTGGTGGTGTGGGCTGGGCTGCCCATGGGGAGTGGCCCTGTCAGCACAAGGAGCTCCTAGGATGTTGACTAGCTTTCCTGCATGGGTAGCAGCCTGTCCAAAGTCCCTTCTGTGTCCTCTGCAACCTCCTGGCTGCTGGATAAGGATCTGCTTTGGACAAGGCTCTCCTTGTGTGTGGGAGCTGTAGGTCAGCCATACTGCTTGCCTGTGCCTATTCTCAGGGTGGGCTATGGGCTACTATGGTTTTGGAAGTGCATCCAGAAGATTGTTGTGTTCTCCTGATCATGATCCTCTTCCACGTGTTTGTGTTCAGCTCACGGCTTCTCTACCTCCAACAGTGCTGCCCTGCTGCACCTTGACTGGCGTTAGTGCTTGCCTCCGTTTGCAGTCTGAGAGCTGCGCGTGGCTCTCTGAGCCTGGTCCCTCTGTTCAGGGGTGTGGAAAGAATCCAGAGATATTGGTTCATTTATTTTTTAGCTAATTGAGACTGACCGGGAGCCTGTGGTGAATTAGTGGGGATGTGAACCAGTGCATAGCATCAAATGTAATGCACTGTGAGAGCACAGACAATTGCAGGCTTCAATTATTGATGGGGCTCCTGTTTTTACTAGGTGCATCATGATAGGTAGATGGAACCCAGAGAATTTGTTTCTTCCTCCCCAGAGAGGGCAGGGTCCTGGTACTGAGAGCTGTCCGTGTTCCCTGCTGAAGGGCAGGCAGCCAGCTGGCTCTGAGCCCCTCAAATGGATAGGGCAAGGCTAATTACTGGGGCAGTGTTGCCATTTTTCTTGTCTAGTAGTTGAGGCAGCGTGCCTGGCAGGCCTGCCTGCCCTCAGACCTGCTGTCCTTGCCACGTCTCCTCCAGCCTTGTGACCCAGCACTGGGCAAGGGGCTGTGTCCCTCCTGCTGGAGGGGGAGGCAGCTCTGCTTCTGCCTGAAGCTGCAAACAGTGTCATGTGGTGAGGACAAACCTTGTCCTGTGTGGAACAGGTGTGTGAGGGACACCAATAGACAGGTAAAGCTGCTGGAGGTGGGAAATGGCAGCCTGAGCTGCTGTGACACTGTCTCCCTCTGTGCCATGATGGGCTGTAGGTGCACCTCCTAGCAGAGAGCTGTGCAGGGCTGACATGGTGCAGGTGGCTTCTGGCTTTGTAGACGCCTGACTTACGCTTTGCCCAAAAAATCCACAATGTTGAGGGAGTGGACTTAACTGCATCCATCCTGGAAGAGGGGCTGGAATAGGTCCTTGTGAAAACCCAGCAGAGGGGCTTTATGCTTGAGTTGCTTTATGCACTGCAGCAGGCGGTGCTTGTCCAGCCTGCTGTCTGTGTCTTATCTGTAGGATCTCGTCTGTGTTCTGCCCGTGGTGTCCTGTTCTGTCTGCCAGCTCAGGGTCAGTCTCCCTTGCCGACAGGAACCTTTTCTGGTGAGGAGCCCTCAAAGCTTGAACTGCATCATCCAGCAGAGTAGGATGTGGATGAACTCCATGTGGGTATGGCTGTGATTGGGCCCTCAGAATTGTTTTCACAGGTGAAGTATTTGGTCTTGGGACAGACAACCATCCCAAGAGTTGGGAGCAGAAGTGTTTAGGAAGAATATCCAGAGTTCTTCCACTGGGGTCTTCAGCACAATGCATCTCTGTTGAAGATTGATTTCAGGAGCTCAGAGTGCAGCACAGAACTGTCCCAGCACTGGGAAGTGGGAAAACGAGGCCAGAAGGACTGGGATGTCAAGCTTTCTGGGTGCATGCATTGATCCCTGGGGGCTGTGGGGTGAGTACTGTGGTGTTCCTTGTGCCCTGGGGTAGGAGCTGCTTGGGGATGTGCTTTGTCTTCAGGGTTTTTAGTTTTGCCCTGAATCAAGCCAGCTGAAATATTTTTGGCTTGCTGGGTTTTTTAAGTAATGGGTGTGTCAGAGAGTGCCTCTCATGATGAAAAGGCTTTCATGCAGCCGTCCTCAAAGATGGTCATGGTCTGGCTTTGGAAAAATGCTCTGTATAGTTGTATCTTCAGAGGCGGGGGATGAGGAGGGGGAAATGGGTGCAAAGCAATCCCTGGAATTTCGTCCTTTGTTTTCTGGGATGCAGCTTACTCAGCTTGGAGCTGTCACAGGCAGCTTGCTCCCTCCTCTTCCCTCCTGCTCCGTGTCTCAATCTGAAGATGACTGTAGCCCTGAGTTGCCATAGACAGGCAGCAAAGGGTTGTGCTGTGCCCAGGGAGCTGCTCCCTGAGATTGTAGTATGGGAGCCAGCAGGGAGATGGCAGAAGGCAGAGATCTGGGGCAGACCCTCAGCAGCTGGGAAGGCCTGTGGCTGGGTTGCTGTTTGGGGTGTGTGTGGCAGTCGGTGCTGGGGAAGGGCTGTGCTCTAACTTTTGCTGGGGTGGATGTTTGTGAGTGCAAGGGAGCAAGGAGAGTGGGCGAGGGACCAGTCCTGTTCCTTCCCCCGCTGCTGTGTGTTTACTCCCTGTGGAAGGGACAGGAAGGAAACAGCCTCATGGCTGCTCCAGCCCCTTATCTAGCTCCCTTAATGGCCCTTCGAGTTCCATTGTTAGCATCCACATTCTCTTGGCTGTGCACCCAGGGGATGTGTGGAGGTGGGGACGTGGGCCTGAGTGGCATTGCTGGCTGTGTGGCGCCTTACCTTCCTGCAATGGCAAACTCCTCCAGCAGGGTTGCCTGAGGGGGTTTTACTGTGCAGGAGCCCTATTTTGTCAGGGGCTGTTTCTCCCTTTTAAAGAGCTTGGTGAGATGCTGTGCTGGAAATGAGTGTTCCTCCACCTGCTAGTAGTGATTCTGGCTGGGATCTTGGGTACTCTGTAGGCATAGGGTGTCTGTGTGTGGTACGACCATCCCATGCTCCTGGGGAAGCCTGGGCACCTGCTGGCTGAGTCCCCTGTGACTGCAAGCAGTGTCCTGCTACAGCCTCTCTGCAGTGCGGGCTGTGGGGCTGGGCCCTGCAGCCTTGCTCTGTGACTGAGGGAGCTGTCACTGAGATCCAGTGTGGTGGCCCTGGAGGCTGCTGAGCTGAGTCCCCTATCGCTTCAGATGGATGCCAACCATGGATGGAGGGGTGTTTGATTTGAGGGTGAGAGCTGAGTTTTTATGGGGCAGGGAGGCAAGGTGATCTAGAGTCTCATGTCTGCTGGGCACTGCACGTGCATGTGTAGAAGAACTGGATTTTTTTAATTGATGAGGACATTACAGAATGGTGGCAACCAGATGTTGGGGTATGCTGCACGCAGCCTCTGAAGCACATGGGAAAAAATCCAGCATTCTTTGCTGGATTTGGTCACAGTGGTGTGTGTCTGATAGTGCTGAGGCAGATGGGCTCCTCTGGTGTCTGTGAGAAGCTCTGGGGCAGGCAGACCCACAGGAGAGATTTGGGCTCGCTGGCAGTGGGGGAGGCATTTCAGGAAGTGTTTAATCTAAATACTCTTGAGTTAACATGGAAAATAAGTAAGGATTAAAAATGATGCGAAAAAAAAAAAAAACAACCTCCCACTCTGCTCTTGGTGCCTCTGACCCACCATCTGCGTCAGGCTGAAACTGGAGGGACTGGGCTGCCAGGGAGTGAGGGGCTGGAGGAGATGGGTACTGTGTAAGGGTGGCTGTGCCCATGTTCCTGGCCCTGGGTTGGCAATGGGAGAGTGGGCAAAACTGGTGTTGTGCTGGAGACCGTGGGAAAGCAGTTCCTGCCTCAGCTGCCTGGCTCGAACGAGTCCCCACATGCCTGCTGTGACTGTATGGGTTTGGGAAAACCTCTTGTGGGCCTGCCGGGGCTTGGCTGGGGAGGTGGAGGGCCGGGCCCATGGTGTTCCTCGTCAGCGGGGAGCAGTTGAGGAGCTGCAGTATCTGAGGGAGCTGTTGCAGTGATGGTGCCGAACCTGCAGCAGTCCCAGCTCCATCCTTCAGGAGGAGAGGAGACCCTTCCTCAGCCTGTGTTCCCTTCCCTGCCTTCTGATTTGTGTTTGCTCGTGATTTGACTCTGTTCTCCTGCTGTCCCTGCAGCTCTCTTCCTCCTGCTTCCTCCCTGTGGTGGCTGGGCTATTTCTCCCATGACTCTCTACGTCTAGACCTGGCTGTCCCGTGCCTTTGCCAATCACACCCGAGCTTCCTCCTCTAACAGGTCTGTATGGAAGAAAATGATTTTTCTGTCAAAATGTGTTCATTATAGTGTGCTAATTCACTGTTTTCCTTTGGGAGGGGATGTTGACGGGTCTAAGCCAATGCCTGTCCCATATCAGTGGGCTGATGACCTCCTAGGATGGCCGCAGGTCTGGGAACCCTGACAGGGACCTGAGGGTGGTGGTGGAGTGGCAGCTCTCAGAGGGGTTTGTGCAGTCCCCTCCTGGGGGTCCTGTCCCGCTTTGCTCCTTTTTGTGGATTGGAAGGAGCTGTAAATGTCTTGTTATTGTTTTTCCCCTGTTCTGAAAATCTGTCATAATGAAATCAGTCTCTTCTGACCTTTTTTTTTTTCTTTCCTCCTTTCCTCCCTCAAATCATGCACAGTGAAGAGCGGGGCTCCTCCCCTTCTGGGTCACTTTTCCTCCTCTCACCTTGACACCAGGCCAACTCTGCTTGTGCCTCCCTGTGCCCTTCGCCCCTTCCCCGCCTGTCCTGGGTAACCGTCACCCATGGACGACTCGGAAGTGGAGTCAACCGCCAGCATCCTTGCCTCTGTCAAGGAGCAGGAGGCGCAGTTTGAGAAGCTGACACGGGCGCTGGAGGAGGAGCGGCGCCATGTCTCAGCCCAGCTGGAACGAGTGCGGGTCTCCCCACAGGACGCCGGCCCGGGCTTGGCCAACGGCACACTCTCCCGGCGGCACCAGGTAAAAAAGGCCCTTGGCAGAGGTGGGCACGGAGGCTCCCGGAGCCCCTGTCCCTGTCAGTTTCGTCTCACTGGGGATGGCCCTGGGCCTGGCTCCCTTTGGCCCTCCTTGGAGATGAGATAGAAGAGGGCTATGCTGGTCTCGTAATGCTGGTAGTGCTGTACGTGGCTGGGGCCTGATGTTTGCACATCCTCAGCTCTCCTATGTGGGTCCTTCTGCCTGGGTATTGGCCTGGAGAGTCTTGCTGCCAGGTCAGCTCTGGTTTTGTTCTTCCGTGAGCAGTTAAGGCTGGCTATGTTCAGTACCTGGATATCCCTTCGTGTTCCACCTGGCTTGTCAGAAGATGGAACGTGAGTTGCTGTATTAGCTGTGAGGGTGTGTCTGTGTCTCCTCTTGTGTGGCAATGGGCACATTGCTGGCATCTTGGCTTATCCCTGGAGTAGTCAAGACAGGACTGTGAGAGATCTCTACAGGGCTTGAAGTGTGGTTTGAAATGCTTTGGCTCAAGGTCTCTGTCCTGCTCTTGCTTTCCTGGGCTGTTTTGGGGAGGGTGTCCTCAGGGCTGGTGGCACAGTGTCATGTAAAAGGCACCTACCTTTCTGGCTGTGTGAAAGTTGGTGCTGCTAGGAGAAATGTGGGATGGGAAAGGGCAGCTGGAGGAACAGTGTGAGCAGGTAAAGCTGCAACACCCAGCAGTCAGCTGCTGGGTGTCTGTGTGATGCTCCTTTGCAATCCTTGTTAGCCTCTGAGATGTCACTTGTAGCTCCTGCATCAGGAGATAGGAAAGGTCACCAGGGCCACCTTGGGGAGTGGGGAGGCTTTTGGTTTCTCCATGAGGGCATTTGAGTGAGATGCAAGTAGGGTGGGGGAGGTAGGCTTAGTGCCATGTCCTGTAACTTCTCTCAGCTTGGTTGGGCTGGGTGCTGGCTTGCTGTGTGCTACACAGACCTGAGGAGTGATGTTTGGCATGTGCTGTGGCTGTTGGAGCCAGCTTGGGACCTGGGGCTGGCAGGAAAGTGGAGATAGCTGCAATCCTGGCAGGGACAAGGGAGTGGTTGGGTAACAGGCCTGCAATGGTGATGTGCATTTCAGAACGGCCGTTTCTTGGGTGATGCTGACCTGGAAAGACAGAAGTTCCCAGATCTGAAGCTAAACGGACCGCAGGTAAGAGGAATTAAGCTGTGGTCAGCCTCCTTGCTGGATGGGGTTGTGGGGAGACCTAGCTGGCTGAGGGGAACTTGTGTTTCTAATGTGACAACCTTGGCTGAGTGGGCTCGGGGTGTTTTTGGTGTATACACCCTCTTGTGTAAAGGGATACTGGGGCTCCCTGGGATGTAAGGTCTCCTTCTCAGGCTCTGTGTCAGCTGTGGTGATGGTGAGGGCTGATTGCGTGCTCCTGCTCCTCCCAGGACCACAGCCACCTCTTGTACAGCACAATCCCCAGAATGCAGGATCCAGGCCAGATTGTAGAGGAGACGTACACCATGGAGGAGGACCCAGAAGGGGCCATGTCTGTTGTGTCTGTGGAGACATCAGATGATGGGACAACGCGACGGACAGAGACCACGGTATGTGTCTGGGGAGGGAAGAGATAGATTGGACTCTAGCTAGGGACTCAGTAGTCAGTGTCACAGCTGTGATTGCTGTCTGCTCATTGTTTATGTAAAATCTGCGCAGAGTGAGGTGCTGGACTGAAAGGGGCCTCAGAGGTCACAGGACTATGGGGTGGGACAGAATTTCCTGATGAGAATATATCCTATGTCCATCTCTCTAGGTGAAGAAAGTGGTGAAGACTGTGACCACCCGAACGGTGCAGCAGGTCCCCATGGGGCCTGATGGGTTACCCTTGGAAACTTCACCTGTCACAAGCAATTACGTCCAGACAATGGACAGGAACTTCCGCAAGAATGGCAATGGTGGCCCTGGCGGCTACCTGAACCACCCAGGCACGGCCACGCTTCCTCGCAACTACCATTACCCCGATGGCTATGGCCGCCCCTATGATGACAGCTACCCGGGCAGCGATCACAGCTATGGCAGCCTGTCCCGTGTCACCCGCATTGATGAGCGCTATCGCCCATCTATGGACGCTTACCGGGCCCCCAGCCGCCAGGACATCTATGGCCCCCAGCCTCAAGTACGTGTTGGGGGCAGTAACATGGACCTCAACCACTTCCACCCTGAGTCATATGGCCTGGAAGATGACCAGCGCAGTGTGGGCTTTGATGATGTGGACTACGGGCTTATGTCTGACTATGGCACAGCCAGGAGAGCAGGGACGCCATCTGATGCTCGACGTCGGCTCAGGTATTGATTGGGGTACTGAGTGTGTGGCAGCGCGCAGTGGGGCAGAGGGTTGCTCTAGGGTTCCTTTAACTCAATTCTTTTCAAAGGAATCATGGAATCATAGAATCATTTAGGTTAGAAAAGACCCACAAGATAAAGTCCAACCTTGCTGTAACAAGATCTAATATAATAGATAACTCTGACCATAATTTGAGTTGTACTGCTTTAAAATTCGTGTTCTCTGCAACAGCTTATACCCTCAAGTCCTTCAGGTATTCACTGCAGAGTGAATAGCAGGAGGGACAGCACCACGAGCTGAGTCAGGCGTGGCTCGTGCAGGAGAAATCTTGTATCTGTTTCAAATTAATTGTGTGCTTAATTGGTGGTTAATACTCAGTGCTAATTGAACCAGTTGTCCTGCAGCGAGGAGTTCCATGAGGTGGCTGGACATGGCTCTGGGCTCTTTCCTTTGCATTACCTGTTTATTAGCATGGTGAGAAGGATCCAGCTGCTCTGTCACTAGCTGAGGTTGGGTGCTGCAGTCAGTATTCATCCTATGCCCCAGTCTGGTTTATCTGCTGGGAAATGTGCCTGATGTCCGCTAGAAGCGGCAGCAACCTCACCATAGCATTCTTGCCAAGCTGAGAGTGGCATGCAGCCCTGAAGGAGTTGTGCTGAGCCTGGGGCTGAAGTGAACAAGGCTTAGCGCTGCAGTGCCCTAGGGAATGCTCTTGCAGGGTGGGACAGGCTGCTCGACCTGTTTGACAGTTGCAACTTCTCCCCTTCATTCTGCTACGGGTGATCAGCAGCTCTTCTAGCCTGACTGCTGTGCATCTGCCTTGGACAGGTAGAAGAGGGGTTGGGTGGTCCTTAACTGCCCTCCAGGTGTGCTTGCAGGCATCTTGGAATGTTACCTGCTGGAGGCTATGGCTGCCAGGGACAGGTATCTTGCACAGTTCTCTCATACTAGTGAATGTGGCTGCTGGCTGGCTAAGCCTCTCAGCTTGCTCTGCTTGTTGTCTGTGCGCCAAGTGGAGTTTGGGGAGGTGCTGAAGTGAATTTGAACAGTACTGAGATAGAACTGGAGTGAGAAGCTAAGCCTGGACCCCAGCAATGAGGAGGAGCTGCCGGTAGGCTGGAATGCATATCTATTCCTGCTATGGGGATAGTCAGAGGGCTGACCACAGGTTCCTTAGGTTCCAAGGACAAGTAGCAGAGGCTCGAGAGGAAGGGAAAGAGGAGGCATTTGCCAGCCCCTGTCAGAGATCCACCCATTTCTCAGGGAGCATCCTGTAATCCCAGTAGCTCTTGGCTGCTTCAGAGACTGAAGGAGGAGCTTTGTCTTTTTGGCTTGTGCCAGCACGAGCGTTTCTGTTGCTGTGTTGAACCAGTTGGGGCAGTTGTTCTCCCAGATTGATTTCCCCAGCCTTGTATTGTGAAGTGTGTGCTGGTTAAAGGAGAGCCAGTGAGGCTGACTTGAGAAAGCTGTGAGAAGCCAGCTTTGGCAGTCCTGAGCTCTCCTCTGGTCCCTCAGCATGCCTCTTAGTCAAAAGGGATAAGGCAGAGTCCAGAAGGCAGGGCATGTTTGCAGCCCTTTCCTATGGCCCCATGAGCAGGCTCTCCCTCCCCATGCAGACTGATAAAGATCACAGCAATCTGTGGAATCCAGGCGCTGTTGAGCTTGGCTTGTCCCTTGCCTTCTCAGTTACCATCTCACTCAGCTGACTGGCTCACTGAGATGGCAACAAGCAAGAGCAACATCCCACCCCCTGCCTCCAAGATGTTTGTCTTGAGCAGGGCCCTGGTGTTTAATGACTTCCTTCAGAGAGGCAGCTTGCCAGGCACGTGGGGGACAAGGGAGCATGTTAGGCAGAGAGTGTGGGGTGTGTGTGCTAGCGGTATGTGGCCTTGTACCCTCTGCTTGACTCTGCTTGGAGCTCCCTGCCTGCAGGAAGGCTCAGCAGCAGCACAGGAGTGCTTTCCTTGCCTTCCTCTGCCTTGCTACTCCATCCCGCACCCCTTTTGGGATGCTGAAGGCATCTTACAGGAGTGAGGCCAGCTGCAGGCTGTGCTGGCAAGAGTTGAGATGTCTCTTCTGCAGTGTTGGCATTGGGCAGCTGTCTTTCTCCTGCTTTGTTCTGCTGCAAGGGCAGTGTTGGTGGCCAAGGTGATGTTCTCAGTTGCCAGACTGAACAGCATTCTTTGGTTGCCAGCCCTTGTGACTTTGTGCCCTTGGAGCTTGTGGTTTTGGCAAGTTCCCTACCAGAGATTGTAGGGGAAATTGTGTAGGGAGCAGAACTTGTCACTGTCCTTTCTTGCATCTTTATGTACCCACTCAGTCAGTGACAGGGATCTTCCTATGTCAGATTTGGGAGCTTAGAAGTGGGATCTAAAGATGGTTGAGCAGATGTGAGTCAGGGGACACAGCCTCATCTTGGACCTGGGTTGTGCAACCACAGTGTGTAACACGATGGTCCCAATGGATGTAGCAATTAGAGTAATACAGCCCCCTACTCCTCCTGTCCCTTTCTGCTGGAGACTGCCAAATTCCTTTGCTCAGGTGGAGGGAAGATTCTGTTTGCCATGCAGGCTTGACAGTGACCTAAAAATAGGGTTGGAATCAGGGATTCTGTATGCTTTGGGGGTGTGTAGTGGGGCTGTATGCACTACTGCCAGATAGAAGACTTGCTTGTACCAAGACTGGGTGTGGAGACCTGGGGAATTTCGATATGATTAGCACTCACCAGCTGTATGTTGTGGGATGAACTTGCCCTCTAGTGGCCATGAGCCTGAGTAGTTGTTTGTGGGGTTACTTGGGCTGGCTCAGCCTAAGGGCTGGGCCTTGCCACTATAAAGGTTACACAGAGAGCAGAGCTCTTTGTCTGACCCAGAAGAGATCTGTTGGGTGGGAAGTGACCCTATTTGCTACTGGGGCTGCTCAGCAACCTCCTGCTTCCCAATCCATCTCGGAGATGTCTGGGGCTGGCCTCCAGGCTCCAGCTGGGTCTTGTGTAGCTGTATGGTGAGAAAGAAGATACCACGGTGCTGCTCTGCAAATCTGGCTCCCTCCCCTTGAAGGTATGCTGCAGCAAGTAGTGGTGACTGTGTACTGTGTGTTTTTTTTTCCATCCTCTACTAAGTTGGGCAGGGCGTCGGGCTCACACTGATGCTTGCTGTTTCCTAGGAGTTACGAAGACATGCTGGTGGATGAAGTGGCTCCTGACCGGTACTACTGGGCCCCCCTGGCTCAGCATGAGAGGGGCAGCTTGGCCAGCCTGGACAGCCTGCGGAAAGGAGCACCGGCCCCGGGCAACTGGCGTCAGCCAGAGCTGCCAGAGGTGATAGCGATGCTGAGTTTCCGCCTGGATGCTGTCAAGTCCAATGCAGCTGCTTACCTGCAGCACCTGTGTTACCGTAATGACAAGGTGAAGACAGAGGTGCGCAAGCTGAAAGGCATTCCAGTGCTGGTGGGATTGTTGGACCACCCCAAGAAAGAGGTACATTATGGTGCCTGTGGGGCTCTCAAGAACATCTCCTTCGGCAAGGACCAAGACAACAAGATTGCCATCAAGAACTGTGATGGAGTGCCTGCTTTGGTGCGCCTGTTGCGGAAGACCCATGATATGGACCTTACAGAGGTCATCACAGGTAACAGCTCTGGGGAGGTGAGGAGGTGCTAACCTGTTGGGTGAGATGTAGGGTGCAGGCATTTAAAGTCCACGTGCCCTGACCAAGCACCTTCTGTGTGTGGCTTTGCAGGAACGCTGTGGAACCTGTCTTCACATGACTCCATCAAGATGGCCATTGTGGATCATGCACTGCATGCCCTGACTGATGAGGTTATCATCCCCCGCTCAGGCTGGGAGCGAGAACCCAACGAGGACTCAAAACCCCGCCACATTGAGTGGGAATCAGTACTCACCAACACTGCTGGCTGCCTTAGGTAAGGGATAAGTGTTACAAACTGCTGGCAGAGAGCTGTAGTGTACTCAGGCTGCTGTAACACTCCATCCTGGAGTGGGAAGGGACTGCTTTGCTGGCTGTGAAGAAGCAGCTCCTGGGACAGCCACTGTTGACAATGTGGTGGTGATGCTTCTTGGCACTGGAGGAGTTTCTCTCTGTCAAGAGAAGCCAGAGAGGAGTCTTCCTTTGATTTGAGCTCTTTTGGGTGTGGACTGCTCCTTGCTTGCCCTCAGCTGTCTCCCCCATGCTGTATTTCTCTTGATTGACAGGAATGTGAGCTCAGAGCGGAGTGAAGCCCGTCGGAAGCTGCGAGAATGTGATGGGCTGGTGGATGCCCTGATATATATCATCCAGTCAGAGATTGGCCAGAAAGACTCAGATAGCAAGGTACTACAGAGGGGATGCTACCTGGGCCAGCACAGCTGGGCAGGATACACAGTGCTCTGCTGTTTATGGATTGTGTACATAGGTTCGTCCTGATAGGGACAAAAGATGGAGGGGAATCAAGGAATTTGACCTGACAGAGCTATTTGAGGAACACCTAAACTAGATACCTGCCTTTCCTTATTTGGGAGGGAGAGCCTTTGTGGGGTGTGACTCACATACTGTGTGATCAGATGTTGGGCTCTCAGCCAGTAGTTGGCAGTAGGAATACTTGACCCTACAGCAGGGCTGTGACTAAGTCAGTGACTGTAGCTTTCGCCCAGAGATGTGGACTGGGCACATGCTGCTCTGAGTAGAACTGTCTGGCTTTCTGTAGCTGGTGGAGAATTGCGTGTGCCTGCTGAGAAACTTGTCTTACCAAGTCCATCGTGAGATCCCCCATGCTGAGCGCTACCAGGAGACTCCTCTGGTCACCACCAACAATGCTGGGCCCCATGCTGCAAGCTGCTTTGGTGCCAAGAAGGGCAAAGGTTCGTTGACTGGTGGCATAAAGACACACTTGCTTCAGTGGGGCTTGAGGGTGGTCTGGGATCTTTGTGATTCATTCTCTCATCTCTCGTGTGAAGGCTAAATTGGGGCTTTCTCTGGAAACACGGTGGCTTGTGCCTTCCCTTGCTTTGGGAAGTTACTGCTTGACTCTTTCAAAGTGTTTGACATGAGCTAATGGTGCCCTGGTGGGTTTCTGTGGTGATGGGATGGTGGTGGGATAACCACTAACTTCACATCTTCCCTTTTCTTATGTGTTGTCCCTTCCCCCTCCCTTTGCTTTCTTGCCAAACGATCTGCCCCATGATGCTGTCGGCACTTCTCTCCTCCTGCCTCCCCTCTCTCCTGTCCTCCTCTCCGCTTCGCCAATAGACGAATGGTTCTCCAGAGGTGAGTGTGCTCTTGATTTTAATTTTTCCATGGTGAAAATGATTGGGTGCCTTCCTGAGCTCTTTGTTCCCCTGCAGCTGGCCTTGTGCTGCCTGCAATGTGACTAATGTCCTTGGTGGCATGTAGCTTCTGCTTGCCTCTGGGCTTATTCTTGTAGCAAGTAGCAAAAAGCTGCTGGGCTGATGTAGACAGGAAGATGAGGTGTCTTATGCTTCTGTGCTTGCCTTTTAAAGGTAAAAAGCTTCCTGAAGACCCTGGTGCAGATACAGTGGATTTTCCCAAAAGAACAACTCCAGCTAAAGGTATGTTGTCTAGTGTGTTCTGGACTTGAATGCGTAGGACTGCCTTCCCACAAGCAGTTTGGGAAGGGGTGGCATTGATAGATTTTTCCCTACTGAAAAGAGCCTCTTAAATGAGCAGAGGTTTGACTTGAAAGTAGTTTGTTTCTGGTTGCCCAGGCTCACAAGCTGTGCTGCAGGCAGCCTTGAAGAGGCCTGCTGGTCTTGGATGTGAGTGCTACCTCAGGACAGGCTTGTAACTGCAGAGGGAGCTGTTGCCCTCGGAGCTGAGGGAGGGCGTAGTGGCACAGCCCTGCAAAGAGGCCCCCTCTGCTGTGGTTTTAGACTTGTCAGTGTCCTGCTTGCTCTTCTCTCCTGGATGTGAAGGATGGGCAGGATTTTAAACTAAAATGCCCTGCTTAGAGGAGCGTTCTGCAGTGTGAACATGAGGAAGGGTCACTCCAAGGCAGACATCTTACTTAATTCCAAGGATTCCAACCTTGAGGGCAGCAAATCACAGCCCCTCTGTGGCCAGAGCAGCAGCTATTGGCCATGGGGTTTAGTTCAGCTATTTCTGCCTTGAAACACTGTCTTCTGAAGTCTGAAATTGATGTCTGGGCTGATTATCTGAGGTATCTGTTGTTGAGGGACAACCTGTCTTGCTGCGTATCGAAGAGTAGACAGTACTTAGCAGTACTCCTTTGTACAAGTCTGTTGCTTGGTCTTGGGTATTCACAGAGGAGTAAGTTCTTCCTCCCTGTGCCTCTCTGGCAGGCTACGAGCTCCTCTTCCAGCCAGAAGTGGTCCGGATATACATCTCCCTGTTAAAGGAAAGCAAGACTCCACCCATCCTAGAGGCTTCAGCAGGAGCGATTCAGAATCTGTGTGCTGGCAGTTGGACGGTGAGTGCCTTATAGAGCTGGGCATGTTGGTGTTCATTGGTGTTTAGGGGAAGGGGGGTTTGGGGTGCATCACTTTTTGGTGTCAACAGAGCTGTGAAGTGTCAAAGCTCTGCCATTCCAGGCTGTTGCACTTCATGTGACTTGCTTTGAAGAAGACATAATTCAGCAGCACAGCTCAAATGTGGACCACATCTCTCCTGTGCTGTTAAGGGTTCTTTGCTCTCTGCCATCTGTTTCTTTCCAAGGGCTGCCTGTGTCTCTTCCTGCAGCCTGTTCTCTGCCACTTCTTCCCTTCTGCAGTCTGGAAGAAGGGAGTGTAGATTTGGGCCCACTCTGTAGTCCTACTGTGCCTTTGCTCTGTATTATTTGTGTATATGGAAAGTTCAAACAAAAGCATGCTTACCTGGCTGGTAAGGGGGGCTTTGACACCTGTAAGTCAGCCCTCTCCCATTCACAGGCATTGCCTGGGGTTACTTGGAGATGGGTCTGGGACCTTCACGGCATCTCTCCCTATGGGTGAACTCGGACCCTTGGTTTCTGGGGCGGGTGGGTGTTAAAGCTCCCAGAAGTGCCCCCGTGCTCAGGAGCAGTGTGAAGCTTTGCCTCCCTGGGTTCCACCATGGTGTTCTGCTCTCCCTGCAGTATGGCCGGTACATCCGCTCAGCACTCCGCCAAGAGAAGGGACTCTCAGCCATTGCTGACCTCCTGACCCATGACAGTGAGCGTGTGGTGAAAGCAGCATCCGGGGCCCTCCGCAACCTGGCTGTTGACTTGCGTAATAAAGAGCTGATAGGTGAGAGCTGCAGATATGCTTCACATTCATCTGGCTTAAAACTTTTTCTAGACTGGGTGGCTGAGGATATGCATGGGCACAGTGGCTGCACAGGGGGCTTCTGTTGTGCATTTCCCAGATAAACGTATACTGGGCTCCTTGGGAGATGCATCAGAATTGGTGACCAATCTCTGATCTTTCAGTAGTGACTTTTTTTCTTTTAGTCACTGTCCTTCTTGCTTGCTCACGCCCAACTATTTGCCCTTATTAGGTAAACACGCCATCCCCAATCTAGTGAAGAACCTGCCTGGAGGCCAGCAGACTCCAGCGAAAAACCTCTCTGAGGATACAGTGGTGTCCATCCTCAATACCATCAATGAAGTCATTGTAGACAACCTTGAGGCTGCCAAGAAGTTGCGGGAAACGCAGGGGATTGAGAAGTTGGTGCTGATCAACAAAACTGGGTAGGCTCTGCTTTGAAGGCTAGTGTAGGGGATGGAGAGCAGCTTTTCCCAAGGCTGCTTTGAGGCTGTGGATATTTCCAAACATCTTTTCCTTCACTGCTTTCTAGGAACCGCTCAGAGAGAGAAGTCCGAGCAGCTGCCCTCGTCTTGCAGACAATCTGGGGATATAAAGAGCTGCGGAAGCCCCTGGAGAAGGAAGGCTGGAAGAAGTCAGATTTCCAGGTATGGAGAGTGGTGGAAGAGTACCCTGTTCTAGCTTGGGTCCTGCTGCAGGGAGGAGGTGCTTCAGGAATTCGGAAGAGTTTGATTTCAGCTCTTCTCTTGCTGCTGTCACTAGAGACCCTTGAAGGTGTCCCTTCTGCCACTTCTCAGTGGGTGGATGGCAGTGGAGCAGAAACACTCTGCAAAGTATTAAGTCTTGAACATCAAATCTACCAGCAGGGAAAGTCTGCAGCACTGAAGCCATTGTGTCAGTACTGAGGTGGAAAATAAAAATGGTCCTCCGGTATTTGCTTTCCTTTCTAAAAGCTGCAACTGCCTCCTCAAGACTAGGTGCTGCCCTGGCCCAGCCTAGGTAGACTGCCTCCATCTTTGTTTGTGGGTACACCCCCAGGGGCTTTGGAGCACCTTCTGGTCCCTTCAACTTCAGGTCCTTTGCTCAAGGACTGTGGGAGTGAAGCGTTGCTGGAGCTGGAGGGTTGCTATGTGCTTGGTGTATGGAGTATAAGTGGTTGTTGTCTGGTGCTCCAGGTGAACCTTAGCAATGCCTCTCGGACACAAGGGGGAAACTCGTTTGATGACAGCACCTTGCCTCTCATTGACAGGAACCAAAAAACAGGTATGTGCCCTTCCTCCTGTTGGCGTTTGTCCCCATTTTAACTGCCTTCTGGGTACCCATGTTGCCTTTGTACTTTTCTCCTCCAGCTTTCTTGGGTTCCCCAGGGGTTCATGCAAAACCATCAGCCTGGGGGATTTATTTTTTTTTCCTCAGGGCTATAAACGTTGCTCAGAGTTTACATGGAGTTTACAATCCTACAGTATCCTTGGCCCAACAGTGCTGAGGCTGGAGCTCCATCTTGGGCTTATTCAACAGTGATTACTGTTCAGCAGTGATAACTGCTGCTCATAGCTGTAGAGGCTATGCCTGATCTGTTTTCTCATCTTCTAGACAAGAAATCCTCCCGGGAGGAGATCCAGATGAGCAACATGGGACCAGGTAGGAAAGGGACTGGAGGAAGGGGCATCTTTTCTGATGTGCTGGGAACACCTTGCCTCCTATGGAGAGGATGCTGCCTCACAAAAAGGTAGTGCAACTGATGGTCTCCTGTCTTCCTCCAGACAACTATTCCACACTTAATGAGATGGACCACAGCAGGACACTGGACCGATCTGGTGATCTTGGAGACACGGAGCCAGTGAAGGCAGCACCATTGATGGTGAGCAGCTTTTCTTAATGAAGCTGGAGTAGGCAGAGGTGCAGGGAATGACACTCAGAGAACTGGGCTCCTGTGACTAACCCTCGTCTGCTCCTTTGCCCCTACTAACCCTGTGTGTCTGCAGCAGGAGGAGGGGCAGGAATCCCAGCCTGAGGCAGAGGAAGATTCTGCTGTGTTTTCCTCTGTGTCGGTATGTCCTGCAGCACCCTCTCCAATCTGAATGGTGGCAAATCCTGCTGTGCTGTTAGGGGTGCTTCGGGCAGATCAATCATGCTCTGATCACTGCAGTCTACAATCACTGTCTGATTCTGATCCATAGGAGCTGTAAACACATCTTCACTGATTGTTCCTGCTCTGGATGTGCTAACATTTCTCCCCCTCTCTCTCCACAGCAGAAGATCTAGCTGCTATCCCTGCCTCCGCTCAATTTGGTTGATAATATATTTTATATATATAAATATATATAACTCTTCGTGGTGGAATGGACCGAATTTTTTTCAACTTGTGTTTTTTTTTTTTTTTTTTGCTGGACTGTTTGTGCCAACTAGCCAGCCAAATGACTGGGCCTGGTCCCACAGGAGGCAGCCCAGGCTGCTCTGCCTCCTCTCGGTGGCTGCATCTCCCTGTTCTGGGACAACTATCAGTAACTCTTCCTCCCTGTCCTCCACCACTTCCCTTCCTTCAGAGAGGAGGCCCTCCTGCCTGACTGCCTGCGCCAACCGGCAAGGATGCTGCAAAACAATTCCAGACCTCTGCCTTGACCAGGAACTGCCTTCTCTGCCTCGCCTTCCTTCTGCTTGGAACCTACTGCGGGGACAGCGACCAAGACCTTACTTGCCACCTTCCTTTGTTGCCTATAGGATATTTTTCTGTGTATGGGATCACTCTTGTGCTGAGGCTGTAGGGACAAGAGCATCCCTTCCTGGTAGCAGCAGGACTGGGATGTGAAATCATGGGGGTGTTGGTGGAAAGAAGCAGCAATAATAACTTTTCTTGCTTTGCTCTAGATGAGGCTTTGGGGGTGTGGGGAGAGGGATCTATCCTAGCTCTGACTGTTTGGCCTGGCTCTGGATCCTGCTGGGGGGAACATGGGTCTGGATGGGGCAGTTGAAAAGAGGAGGGATCCTTATGTAGGGAGAGGGTCTGTGTGGGGCAGGCCTCCCTCCCCTAGGGGTGATCTTTCCCTGGGAAGGGAGCAGGGTAGGAGGAGAAGCAGCAGGGCTTTTGGGCCGGATTTCTTTGGGAACTGGCTGAAGTAGCGGTGGGTCTGTGAGGGCATGCGCAGCAGGTAGGGCCTGGATCCCAGCCACCCCCATGCATCAGCTGCCTGTGGCAGTGTCCCCTCAGACTTCTCTTGACATGTGCCTTTCTTTTGCCACTGTGAAATAGCTCTTTGAATTGTACTGTTTGGCTTCGCTAGGGGAAGCGGTGTTCCAGGCTCCTGGTAGGGCTGAGCTGGAAGCCCAGCGGGGAGGATCGCAGCCCTGCTGCCTTCGGCTGCCACTGCTGAACAGGAAGCAGGGCTCTCCCCTCTCTCCTGTCTTGGGAGCATCTCTGGTGGTGGGGGCGTATTTGGTGCTGTGATCTTCTGGGTGAATAGGGGGAGGCTTAGGCTCACTGTGCAAACTGGAAGCCTCCATGCAAGGCTGCAAACTGGAGATGGAGCCCTCCCCAGTACGCACACTTGTGCCTCGCTCTTCCAGCTCCAGCCACACCTCAGCTCCATTTGGTTTTGTTCTGGGGTCTAACTTTTCTCTTTTTCCTTTAAATATGTAAAACACTAATTCTTTTAATTTTTTAATTCCAGATGAACCAAAAAAAAAAAACCCAACAACCACAAAACCAAGCTTCCCCCTTCCCTTCTCCCCTGTGCAGGGCAGGGGAGCTGGCTGCAGGGTGAGGGTGGAGGGGGCAGGAGCACCTCACTGTTCCTTGTCTGATTCCTGTGCACACTCTTGTAACGCTTTTCAAACAAAATGATTTTTTATATAAATAAAGTTTTTTAAGTGTGTCTTTTTGTCGGTATGTTTTGGATATGAGGCTGTCACCTCTTCTTTCTTAGCTTTACAGCTAGGGCTGTCCTACTCAGCTGGACATCAGCCACTGGGGTTGGTATCTGTTGAAAGACAGTAAGGGGAAGAGCTGAACCACTGTGTAGCCCCAGAGTACAGCTTTCTCCTGGTGTGCCTCTCTCTGGATTTCAGCTCTGCATGATCTAGCACTTAGTTGACTTTTATTTATTTGCACAAGAAGAAATTGCACTATTTCTTAACTTAGACACTTTTTAATCTGGCAACAACAATGACTGTAAGAGAAGTGGCTGAGGGAAGCCTGCTCAAGTGAAAGCTGGGGTTTTGTGGGTGTAAGGCCAGGACTGTCATGTATGAAAGGAACAATGCTGTGGTTGTGGAGGGGTGGGACACCAAGGGGTGTTAGCTTCAGCTAGGGCAATTCTGGAGATGCTGAGAGGTACAATCCTAGGGATTTTTGGCTCAGCAGGGGAAATGCTCTTGGTGCTGGATGACAGGGAAGCCAAGCAAAGCAGCAGCTCCTAAAAGCACAGAACTTGGAGCTCAAAGGAAGAGCTTGTCGTGGCAGGGCTGGCAGTACATCTTCTCCCCATGCTCACGGAAGGTGCCTTTGTGCAGCTGGCTCAGGCAGTAGGCGCAGATGAAGTGCTCGGGGTGGTACTTGCGCCCAGCAGCTGTGATGCAGCGGCCAGTGATGGGGTGCCCACAGCCATGGCACACGCTGCCCTGCCGCTGGTGGAAGTGCAGCTCGCAGTAGGGCCGGCCCTCCAGTTCAAAGAAGGAGCCATTGGCGAAGCTGCTCAAGCAGTCCTGTGGGGGAGAGAATCATTAAGGTTGGTAAAGACCTCTAAAATCACCTAGTCCTACTGCCAACTCATTCCCACTATGCATTCTCAGGCATGTCCCTCAGTGCCACATCTGTGTGCTTCTTGAACGTCTCCAGGGATGGTGACTCCATCACCTCCCTGGGCAGCCTGTGCCACTGCATCACCACTTTCTGAGAATAAATTTTTCCTAATAGCCAGCGTGAACCTCCCCTGGTGCAACTTGAGGCTATTCCCCCTCATCTTTTCAGTGTTACCTGAGAAAAGAGGCCAACCCCTACCTCCCCACTACCTCTCTTCAGGTCATAATAGAGAGCAATAAGGTCTCCCCTGAGCCTCCTCTTCTCCAGATGGAACCACCACAGCTCCCTCAGCCATGCCCCATCAGAGCTGTGCTCCAGACCCCTCACAGCCTCATTGTCCATCCCTGGACATGCTCTGTGTCCTCAATGTCCTTCTTCTGGTAAGGGGCCCTAAACTGAACATAACGCTCAAGGTGCAACCACACCAGAGCTGAGTACAGGGGGAGGATCACCTCCCTGCTCCTGCTGGCTGCACTATTGCTGATATAAGCCAGGATGCTGCTGGCCTTCTTGGCCACGTGGGCACACTGCTGGCTCACATTCGGCCATCTCTCAAACAAGTAATTAAAGGGAGAAGACTGGCATGGCTTTGAGGATGTGCCAGTCCTGCATCCCTCTGTCCTGCTGCCCGCTCACCGCGCAGACGAAGCACTCAGGATGCCAGACGCCCTGCAGAGCCGACAGGTAGTTGTCTGTCAGTGGCCGCTCACAGCCCTGGCACTTGGGGGCAAAGAGGACCACGAAGTCCTGGAAACAGTAGGGTTTCCCACCGCGCTCATGGAAACCTGTGAAGAAGGCAGTGGGATGGGCAATGGACTATAAAAGGGCTGAGATGGAGAGATGCAGGTGCCAGGTAGGGTTATGGGGTGGGGAGCAGAGGGATGTGCCCTCGATACAAACCGTCATCTCCAAACACCTTCCCGCAGTGGGCACAGAAGAAGTGCTCGGGGTGCCAGGTCTGGTCCATGGCAGTGAGGACTTTCTGTGGGCACAGGAGAGGTGAGGCACTGGGTAGCAGGGCATAGAGGTGGGCAGGGCCGTGCTTACCTCGCGGATGGGTCCAGCACAGTAGGCACAGCGTGGGGAGAAGGCCTGGTGGTAGTCCTCCTCGCAATACGCCTGCCCTCCACGCTCAAAAAAGGGCCGCCCACCCAGCTCCTGCCCACAGCGCGCACAGGTGAAGTGCTCGGGGTGCCAGGTTTCGCCTAGGGCCGTGAACATCTGCAGGACGGAGATAAGTGAGGGACCTGGGGGCTGCTGTGAGCCCCACACTCTTCCCTGTGGCTCACCTTGCCGGCGATGGGCTTGTGGCAAGCGGCACAGACAGCAGCAGGAGCAGCAGTGATGCCCAGCTCCTGCAGGTCCCGCGTCAGGCCACCCAGCATGCGGTCCAGCGAGTGTTCAGGGCCTGCCTGTGCTCTGGCTCCTTGCCCCACCGCTGCCAGCTGCTGGGATGGGGTAGGTGAGGGATGGGCTCCAGCCTACTCCGTGCTGCCTGCCCCAGGATGCATCTCACCTTGCTTTGCATCTGGCCCAGGTCAGCCAGGAGCTCATCCAGCTGCCGGGCGGCCTCTGTGGGTTCCGGCGAAGCAGGTAGTGGTTGTGGGGTCGGCATGGGACTGCTGGGCACAGCAGAGAGCAATAGGTACTGCAGTTTCACCCCTAAGACTGAGGAGCATGTGGGACAGAGCATCTTCCCTTCACCCCAAAAAAGCTGCTCCGTCTCCACAAGCTGTGGTAGGGGACATACTGGAAGCCCACCCCTCACCCTGGCAACAGGCACAGCAGGATGTGTCCCTCTCACCCCAGCTCACAGAAGGACTTGCTTTTTGTGGGGACATTGAGGAAGCCAGGTGTGCGTGTCTGAACTAAGGAAGGGGTAATCCCAATGGCTCTGCCATCTCATGGTTGTATTTTACCTGTACACAGATTCCAAACTTTCACCTGAAGGCTGAGACCGAGGTGGCAGTGGCACCTGAAAGGACAAATCCCTGTGGCTGAACCCCCAGCACCCTTCAGCATTCACCCAGCACTCCCACCCCTGTCATGGGCTGAGCAGGGCCTCAGTGCGAGCCCCATTCCCAGGCCCTGAGCATTACCTTTGGGGCTGCTGATGTAAGTGGCTTCTGGTTGCTGGGAGCTGGGGGCTTGTCTGGAGGTGCATCCTGCTGCCTGCTGCTGGATGTCAGCAACATGTAGCTTGTTGGGGCCGGCTGGGAGCTCTGCTCCAGCTCTGCCAGCAACGCGTCTGCATGGAGAGATGCAAATAGGAACCCACTGCCCCCCTCTGTGCCCCAGGCATAAGCTGCTTCCACCTTACAAAAGGACATCCATCACCCTGAAGTTTCTTCAACCCTGGCAGAGGAAAGCTCATCCTTGGTGCTTCCCAGAGTGGTGGGATCCATATGGAGGATAAAGCCCTTTCTACTTTCAGCTTGCCGCCCCCATGACAGGACATGGTGACAGGCACACCCAGCAGCGCAGCTGCCCCCTGGGCCCCACCTCCCCGCCTGGGGCCAGGGCACCCCTGTTCGTGGTGCCGCCTTTCTCAGCAGGCTGTTGGGCCTCACTGTGCACAGACAAGATTGCACCGTCACTGAAGCCCGCTTCCTGCCTTTCAGCGGTCTCCATTTTTGGCAAAGTTCGACCGCCCGTCTGTCCCCCGAGATGGAGGAGCAGCCCTGCTACCGTCCCTTTTGTGCCATCCCCACCTGCCCCAGAAATGCAAGGAAGATGAAGTTCCCCAGCCCACCAGGACAGGACCCTGCAGCGAGCCTGCCCACGGGGCCAGCTCAGCCTTCTCCCGCACCAGAGGGACCCAGCTTACCCAAATCCTCCATCCTGCCTCTGCAGGGCAGTGCAAGCAGCAGGCTGGGCTGCACCAGTGCTCAGTTCCGCTCCCCAGCCTTGCCTCCACCCCTGACGCCAGGGTTCATCGTTGGGCTTTTTCCTTTGTGGGTTGCGCATCACATGCAACGAGTAACAAGTGACGAAGGCTGGGGCCAGAAAGGAAACAAACTGAGCAGTGGCTGACCAAGGGGCTCCTGACTTGACAAGGAACCCAGGTTCCTTGTAGTCCTCTGCTGGATCCACCAGCACTACATAGCAGAGATGGTATCCCCATGTGCAGCAGGCACCCCTGCATTCCCCCCACACATCTGTGCCTTCATGGGGAGGGGACTCACAGCACATCCTTGCTAGCCCCCTTTGGATTCCAAGGCTGCTCTAAAGCTATGGGAGCAAACGATACTTGCCGTTCTGGCAGAGCCCATGGCTCCCTGCTACTTCTCCTGCAGTAACACATCTCGTCCCGCTACAGCCTCACCTCTGCCATCCCTCCCATGCCATGGGGATCTCTTTGATCTCCCTCCCACATTCCCTGGCGTCACATCTCTGCTGCCGCCTCCTCCATTTCACTCCTGGCATTTGGAACCGGCAACCATTTCTAATCAGCTCAGCCACAGGGCTGAATTAAACCCTTTTGTACCAAGCTAGCACACCAAGTTTCATTTAGTTACTGACACTCTCCACGCTGGTGACAGCTCTTTTGTTACCGTCCCACAGCGAGGACATTCAGCAGGGTGTTGTCTCAGGAAAAGCCACATAGGAGCCAAACCCCAGGCCCCACAGCTTGTTTCACAGCAAGCAATACAAGAGCCGCCCAAAGGCAAGATGAGTGTGGGTGATTACACTCTTACTGTGGCTCTGAAGCAGTGGTTGTGTCAGACACTTCCCTTTTTGCAAGTAAAAGAACCTTCCTGTCTGCAGAAGGTCTTGGGTTATTTTTAGGCATCTCAGTGATTTGACTGTCCCCTCAGTGCAGATACGGCCTCTACTGCAATGAAGCATCTGAAGCTGTAACGCTATGAAACTCAAGCTCAGTGGATGCAGATGGCTGAGCCGTCCTGAGCTGAGCTGTATTTCCACACAGTGCTTTAACCAAGCCATTTTGATGAGTATTAAGCAATCTCATGCCCTGCCTACAAAGGAGCAATTAACCCAGAGAAGCTCCTGCATCAGGACGGACACCTCCTTCCCACGGCCAGGGCTCGGTCAGAAGGAATCAGGCTGTGGTTCTCCACAGAACAAAAGGTTACTTGAGCACTCTCACAGCCTGCTGATTTATAGACTGGAATTAAACACCAAACGCCAACCCAGCGCTACTTAAGGCAGCACGGCTGGACACATCCCGCAGCCCCCAGCGTGCCTCGCGCCCACTTCCGGCCAGGCCGCGCCAGCGCCCCGCTGGACTACAATTCCCGGCAGGCCGAGCGCATGCGCGGAGACCCAGCGGAAGTAGGCGGAGCTCCTCGCTCTGGCCCCGCCCCCCTTGCGCCGGCCGCCATTTTGTCACCGACTTTCACCCGCCGCCCGACGGGGCGTTTTTTTTTTTCTTAAAGGAGAAGCGACAGCCCCCAACCAGGGCCCGCCACCGGGCCCCGCCGCGCCCGCGAGCGGCGCCGCATCCCGTCTGCAGGGAGCGGCCGCGCGGGGCGAGGGGCGAGAGAGCGGTTCCCCCTGCCCGGTCCCGCCCGCCGGGCGAGGGGACTCGGGGGCAGCCGGAGGGGAGCGGGCGGCGGCGGCGGTAGGAAGCCCGGCGAGGGCCGAGGGCCGGGCGACGGCAGCCGGGCCGGACGGCCGGGTGGGCGGGCGGGCCGGGCGGCCGGGCGGCAGAGCGGGAGCCGTAGGGGCCGCGCTCGGGCGGGCGGCACGGCGGGGCAGGCCGGAGGTGGGG